AACAATAAATCAATTAATCGCACGATGAATAAAAATTAACCTCATTTTCATTTATCGGCTTTATCGTTTCTTCGTGTCGCACTTTCTACTGAAGACACTGGATGACAAAAGGCTCAACTCCGGTGCTTTTCACTGACCTCTCCTTTTCTCTTTAAAATCCGTTTTAATCGTCCAAAATCGCGTTTTTGGATCGTTAAAAGCTGCTAAGCTGAGAAGCTAAGCTAGCAGGCCAACCTCGGGGAAAAAACCTCCGTCTTGTCGAAGTTCCAAAATTCACGATTGAAACCTGTGCCTTTGTGTAAAAAGTTGTTTTTCTTTGCTAAAAGAAGCGGAGAACTTGTTTACTGATTTTATTTTATTTTTTTAATTTAAAGCTTTGTGTGAAATGCTATGCTAAAGAGCTCAAATCACACAGAGCGTCCACCATGTCAGCCCATGTTGCGTCAAGGGCCCTCCCTCCCCTTTTTCTTAGAGACATGCTGCTCAACTATCCATCCTTTGGTTCAAGCTGTCTTATACTGCCATCATGTGGTCAAAAGAGGTACTACACTCCAAACAAATCAACATTCTTCTAAGATTTGACAATTATTGTTAAATTTCAAACAATATAATTGTTTATTGCAATAATTTCTGAGACAATCAATTAATCGCCCAGAATTTTTATTTTTTTTTATTTTTATCGTGACAGGCCCAAGTGCGTTTGATTTATGGTAATTTGAAGTTTCATTGGTCCACTGTGACCTGTTAGGTAATTTTATTTGTCTGATTATGTATTTACTATTTTAACCTGTATTTATACAGGTAGTCTAAATAAAGAGAGATGTGTATTGGACAGCTATGTTAGCGCTCGGGTCTGACGATGCGGCATGAAGCTCGTTAGCCTTTCCAAAAAAAATAAAAATCATAAATTAACTGCAGCATTGTATAAACCGCAGTGTTCAAAGCCTGTGAAAAAAACTAGCGGCTTATAGTCCAGAAATTACAGAATTTTTAGTTGTTAGGGTTTAATATACAAGCCTGGAATGAACGCTAGCTTCCTGTACAACACTGAGCTGTAAAATGCAGCAGAGCCGTTCAGGTGCAGCTCTGTGTAGACCATGAGCTACGTAGCTGGAAGAACCCTTTATCGTGTTCAGACATTTGCCTTATTGTCTCGTCTCCCTCTTGTAGAGGGCAACTCTTTATTTGGAAACTGATTCTGTAACCTGATCAGGAGGATTTAAGACTGTCAGTGATCCATATACTAGAGGTAGATCAATCAACTGGTCGACAAAGTTTAATCAGCTGATATTGGCCATTAAAAAAAGTCTTCTAACAGTTGTCAAATAGACATTAATTTAACACGAGCAGTTCTTGTAATTGTTTAATGAAAAGTACACATGGACCAAAAAATAAATAAATCGGTGTTTCACGTCTGCCAGCTGCAGCCCTGATTCTAAAAATCATCAGTGCTCTGTCAGTGCAACCACAATGACACTCTAAACCTGGACTTGCCATACTGGTTGAAACATATAAAGTACACTGTGCAATATATATATTTAAATTTCCTTTGCCTCCAAGAAGCCAGACTTTCTTACATTTCACCTCGAGCATTTTTTCTTTAGATTTCTGAAAGTTTTTCTTTGTAATTTGTCTGATTTTTTTATTTTTTTTTTCCCCAGTCCTTTTCAGTCAAATACCTAACCATTTACAGAGGAATGCTATTTTGCGTTTGTTTTTTGAGCCACATAAGCCTGACCTATGACTCACTCTGCCATAAAAGGCTCCTAAACTCGAGATGAACCGGTGTTGTCGACACATAATGGACGGCTCTGCAGGGAAAACCATTTAAATCAGATATTTAGGCCTATTTTAACCAGCAGCCTGTCACAATTTGTTTATTCCTGTTTCTTGGATTAAATTTATAAAGGTATTAAATTTAACACAATTTGAAATATGTTATTTCAGCATCAATAAAGAGATTCCCCCAAAAGTTGTCGGCTATAAACTTTTAGTTTCCAACCCACAAAATTAGAGCAGCAGAAACTTGAGACCCAAACTATTTGTAGTATGCAAATATTATCCACCTGAAAAGGGTGTTGCTCTTCTATCAACTTTACCGCAGCATGTACCCGTGTAATGTGTACTATTACTTTTGTTGGTGTTTGGAGTTACCATGGCGACGTAATTCACAAACAGACATTTTTCTCATTGGAAAACACTGACGGAGCTCTTAAGGGCTTCTGCCACTGTGAGGTCACATTACCTAGAGTGAAGAGGTCTCTGAACCTTTGGAGCCATTTTGGCTCAAGATGGCCGCCACAGCTACCTCAGAAAACTCAACATTGACTATAACTCAGTCATTCTTGGAGATATTGAGCTGAAATTGGGTACGATCGTAGCTGAGAGTGAGTTGTTTTACATTCCTATTGCAAATCAAAAATCCAAGATGGCCACCTGAGCTATAAAAAGAAAAATACTATAAACCAGCCATTTTTAGAGATATTAAGCTGAAATTTGGTGTGTTGATAGCTGAGAGCAATGCCCAATAAATACTGAATTCAAATAAATTCCAGATGGCCACCAAAGCTGCATTTAAATGGCTTTAACTCTGCTATTTTTACACTTGTCGATCTGAAATTTGGTGAGGTAGCTGAGATCGTTCCCCAACACACAGCACTGTCAAATCAAAACTTTAGAATGGCTGCAACATGGCAGTCCCCATCGAAGTTTCTCCAGGAACTTTCTAGTACTGTTTTAGTATTGACCAATAACAACGCACTTTGTGTCTCATAACAATTAAAGCAGAGAAATGTCATTTTAAATTAGATTTTGTTACTGGAGGGGAGTCCTGACCTGAACGTAGTCTGCAGTCGATCATCTGAAGGTTCTCTCAGGTCCTGATGGAGATTTTGTTTCTAGTTTCTTTAAGGCACAACCTTTAAATTCATTTATTTTTGTATTTATTGTGTATGACATCTCTTTTCTTCTTGTTTTACTCCTCTACATGTTCATTCTTAATTTTTTAAGAGCACATCGCACAACATATTCATTGTTGTGTAAATAACTCGACTTGATCACGAGTACAAATGTGATCAAGTACACAAAAAATAATTTGATCAAAACTACTGTAAAACATGGTGAGGGTCTTTGGCTCATTGGAAGCGAAACTTAGAGGTGAAGTTTGGTTTCAAACTTTTGCTCTGTACCATGCGTGCTCTATCGTATTCCTCCCGTTTAATGAGTGTTAAAAAAAAAAAAATCTACGAATAAAATGTTCCTTATTGGGACTGTTGTTTCCACATCTGTGCAGTAACTAAATGTAAAGGCTTGTATAAACTGGCTCTTATAACAGAATATTTAATAATCTCGCTGACCTCTTACCTCCAAGTTGTAAAAATGACCATGAAACTAAAGAGTTTGTCTCCCTGTCTTTCAGCCGGGGGCCAGCCTGGAGCAGACCCACATTTTTGTTCTTGCACATATTCTTCGAAGACCCATCATAGTCTACGGAGTGAAGTACTACAAAAGTTTCCGTGGGGAAACATTAGGATACACTCGCTTTCAAGGTGAAACAGCTTTTTTACTTATTTTTTACAGTAAATCTAATAATAGTTGCGTAAACTTGCAGGATCGTCGGAGGCAGCAGACCGTTGTCGTACATGGTTGAATTTGAGCGAACAGCCTGTTCTTCAGATGTAATGAGAGTGGCAGCGAACAGCCTGTCCCGCCTTGTCTGACTTGTTTTGCGTGTCTTCAGGCGTCTACCTGCCTCTCTTATGGGAGCAGAGTTTCTGCTGGAAGAGCCCCATCGCCCTGGGCTACACGCGAGGGCACTTTTCCGCTCTGGTGGCCATGGAGAACGATGGATATGACAATCGTGGTGCGGGCGCCAACCTCAACACAGATGACGATGTCACAGTCACGTTCTTGCCCTTGGTCGACAGCGAGCGGAAGCTGCTGCACATTCACTTTCTCTCTGCCCAACAAGTAAGCTCCAATACTCTAAAACACTACGGCTGCAACTTGAAACGGTTGAGATGCTTTTTTTGTGTGTTTTATTTATTTATTTACTTGCTATTTACCTTTAAAAGGTGACAACTTGGATTGTTCTTTCAGTTATTGAACTGTTATTAATGGTGTACCACAAGGCTCAGTCTTAGGACCCACCCTTTTTACAGTCTACATAAGTAATGTAGGTCAGAACATTCCTGGCGCATCCTTGCGTTTCTATGCCGATGATACAATTGTTTGGTGTCGAGCTAAATCAGTTGCTAAAGTTTTCCAGCTTCTACAGTCTGCATCGACATCAGTCAAACTTGTTCCGTCTCAAACTTGTATAAAGGTTGAATGAATGTTTCGTATTTGTGAGACTGCCCCCAGGTGGCAGCAGTATGTTCACCACAAATGCATTTTTTCTTTAGTAAATAACTGCAGGACTAATCTCTGCTTGAGAGCTTGAAGCAAAGCAAAACTTTACAAATATTCTGAACCTATTCTCTCATCAGTGGAGCCTCAGGAGGCTGAAGTGACACCAGATCAGAGGTCCATCAGTAAATGAGTAGTTCTGGTGGTAAAACTGGAACTTTTTGGGAGAACTCGTAACGGTGCCAATGCAGCTGCTGCTCAAATCTCCATTATAACTTATCTACGAAGAGAAAAAGTGTTAATTTTGAAGTTATAAAGGGTAAAGAGATTAAAACAAGTGGTCAAACTATTCCCGGTGACATTATGGCCACTATGATAACCACACACCTGTCTGTCGCTTTCAGACTGCTGTTACTGAGAGACAGACCCAAACACAGACTGAAAAGTAAGCCTCAGACAGTCTCAGTCTGAAAACTCTAGGACAGATCTTAAAAGACCGAGACTGATGGCCACACATTATTAGGTTTATACATTCTATGTAGAAGATTTGACAAAGTAAAAAGACTCTTCTAGTTTTTATAATAATATTTTGAGCCAAAATTTTCTGTATTCTGGGTGGATTGAAGATAAAACTGTAAGTCCTGTAGCGTGACCCTGTTAAAGAAGAGGAAGACTCCATGGTTTGATGCACAATTTGAATCTGTACTAAAAGCAAGAAGAGTTTGTTTGGACAAATTTAGAAAATGTTAAACATTTCATAAGTTAGTATGACGTCATTAACTGTCAGTTAAAGCCATAATAGCTGTAAAAAAACATTATTGAATATTTTTGATAATAATTTATTATGTGTATCATCATTGATAGAAATAACCTCTAAATTTGCTTAATTCACTACCAAAAGTCTACTGCAAAATTTGTATTAAACGAGCAAAATCAGAGGAGTCGTTTGTTGTTGCCAACAATTACGAGTAGTTTGTTTACATTCGAGCATTAACGAGGACTCTGTTGATGGGGCAACGGATATTTAGTCTGAAATGATCCCCAGATTTAAACAGAGGTGGAGGGAGAACAATAAAATCTGAGCCTTCAGGTTGAAATACAAGGTTTTTTTTTCATTTTTAAAGAAACGACTAAAAGCTGTAAAGACGAGAGTCGACAAAAATCGAGAGGTCGAGCTCATTAAAACTAAATCTCGTGCAAGATCGTGCACGCATTGTGCCGATATACGGAACCCTAAAGGAGAATTTTTTTAGCAGATCACTGACTTTAGTCATGGAAGACGGTGATGAGTATTTCCTGTTTTTGAAGCCTAAAGAAAAGAAAGAAAACTCAGATGAGTTTGAGTTATCGTATAAAAACGACTAAACGTATCAAAGTGCCTGTTGTGATCTGTTTGAACTTTAAAAGATGTTTCTACTGTGAGGTCTAAACAGGGCTGGGGCTTCTCAGCAGTTTAAGATTAACTGAACAGTACGAAGGATGTTTTCTATTGTCTTCTGTGGCAGGTGTGTGATAACGTGGGGCCGCATGAGTCAGAGCATTTGGGAACAGGTGCCAGAACAAGATGCGGGGTTACCGTATTTTTGCTGTATAAGTCAGTTTTTTGCATAAATTAGCATGCCTGCGACGCCACGTATTTGTCCATATTTATAACCCAATTTTTGGCTGAGATCAGACAATTTCATTCATTAAGACATGGAAAATATTGAACACTACAATTTTCAGCCTGTAGAGGGCCCTCAACTAATATGGCAAGTCAAGTGTCTCATTAATAGGCAAAAGTGGCTATTAATGAGACACTTGGCTTGCCGTACCAAACTTCGTCTCGCTCCGGAACAAACGTCAAATCAGCTGCATTTCTCCGCACCGCCCAGGCGAAATGATTTGACCATTAAAGTGCATTTATTAAGGAAAAGTTCAACTGAGACGCACCTTTACTATAATGTCGAGTAAACAAATAATTGTTTTCAAGCGTTAATCTTGTTAAATTCTTGTTCAAGTCCTTCCGTGCACACTCCCGCGGCCGCCATTTGGCAGCCAATCAATTTTTGGCACAACACCGGCCTGCGTTTCTGAGGTGTCAGCGGTGACGCATAATAGATGAGACTTATACGGTGAAGCGTCGTGTACGGCGGCAAGTACGGTAGTTTGGGGTTCCATGTACCGTAAGTATCGGTAACACGTTTTTTGTTTGTTTGTTTTCAACACAGATGGGGAACGAGGAGCAGCAGGAGAAGCTGCTCCGGGAGTGGTTGGACTGCTGCGTGACAGAAGGCGGCGTCCTGGTCGCCATGCAGAAGAGCTCCCGCCGCCGAAACCACCCCCTGGTCACCCAGATGGTGGAGAAGTGGCTGGACCGATACCGCCAGATCCGCCCCTGTGCCTCTCTGTCCGACGGCGAAGAGGACGAGGACGAAGATGAATGAGTGAGGCTATTAAACCATGGACCCTGTAGGCTCCGAGTGAGAGTTCTTTGCGATTTAGATTTTTTTTTTCTCCCCCCGTTAAACGTGTGAATCCTTTACTTGTAACAATGCATGTGAGCTCTGTGGTAACCATACCAGCACTATGAAGCAGAACCCGACGACTTCTCCCATAAAAAGCACATGAAGTCCTCCTCGTTTGCCGTCTTATACTCAAATTACTACCCGTTAGAATTACCTTACTTGAAGAAAACGCTAGAAGACGTGAAATATGCAGTATTTAAGAATTCCCCGAGCTGCAGTAGATCTGGATTTACATTTACAGACTTGCCTGAGAAGATGCTAATTGTGTGCGTGTGTGTTGAGTTAAATGAGTTTCCATGATTTCTTATCCTTCTACAAATATTTGATGCTGGATTTATTTATTTATTCAAGTGCAGACGCGCGCAGAGACCCCATACTTGGTTTGGACACCCTTTCTTTTCTTTCAACGTTTCGTTTGATTCACTTAGTCTTGAAGTATTTTTATTTTGCACAGATGAAACCTACAATTTGTCCGTGGGAGGGGAAGATTGAAGTTTACTGACATTTTTATGTGACTTGGTAGCTCATGTTCGTGTTTAGAGTGAGTGGTGGTGTTGACGCTGGCGGGGAAGACAAAAGAAGACGAACCAAACACTTTGCCTCTTCTATGGAGAGCAGTAATATTAAATTTAACTCACTTGCATCAACTTTATCGCCGTTTTGTTTTTACTTCCTGAATACTTGTTTGAATTTAGAAGATCACAGGCTCGCATGAAGGAGTCCTCCTGGGTGGATTAACCATGAAGTGCACATTTATCGACGCTAAAAACTGTTTGTCATCCAATTTGGAATATGTTCTGATTCGAAACCTTTCCACACTACAGCTTTGTGTGCATTCTGTTGTCGAATCAACGATTTAACCCTTGTGTCTCAGAAAAAGTTGTTTTTCTGCTAATCAGTCGTTGCAAGTACAACCGATTCTTAAAACTTGTGACCAAACAGTACATGTATTTGTACAGGAAATTACAAATATATGAAGCTGAACTGTGGGAATATTAAAAAAAGTTTGTGATCCGTACATGAACAGATATTCTTGGTTTAGAAACTTGAATATGTTACCGAGCGGCGACGGTCCGAGGCCTCACACTTTTGAGGGTAAAAGTTTCGAAGCAAGCTGCTTTGGTAAAATACTAAAACTTCTGGTCGTCTGTGATCAAATGAAGACACTAATGAAGTCTAAACCCAGAGGTGTAGGTTTAGACCAGTTTTGGTACAATTAAATGCACTTCAGTGGTGTTTTTACAGTCCTAAATCAATGGATCCCAACACTGGTCCTTGAGGAACACCATCCTGCAGGTTTCAGTTGTTTCCCTGCTCCAGCACTTCTGATTCAGTGATTTAATTACTTAAAAGTTCTGCAGAAGCCTGTTAATCACACATTCATTCAAATCAGGTGTCAAAGCAGGGAAACGAGTAAAACGTGCAGGATGGCGTTCCTCAAGGACCAGTGTTGGGAACCCCTGTTCTACCTTCCATCAAGACAATATAAATAGATCTAAATAGTTTTAAACCTTATCATCCAAATGAATCGAGACCAGTGGTTGTCAGAATCATCTCTTTATTTGAACTGCACTGAATGCTAAATGTTCACCTTGTACAAGAAACGAATACAAATACTCACACTAAAAACCAAAAAATAAAATAAAAATAAAACATACTGCTGGCTGCCTCTTCCGCTATGGTTGGGACACTAAGGAGTTTCAGCTATTGCTCGTACAGAGTACAGGACGACCCTCGCCCCCCCCCCAGAAAGAACCTGGCCTTCTTCGATAGAACAAAGAAATCAAAGGAGGGAAGAGAGGGGGTGGTGGAGCACATCAGGACTATAGGAACACTCAACTAAGCATTACAAATCTAACAGGAAATTCCTCAACACCAAAAAATGTGTTTGTAGAAAAATACCACAACGGTTAGGATGATGAAGAAAATCTGCAGACTAACCAGATTAGTCTTGACTTTTTTTTTCCTCAAAGACAAAACTTTGACAGGGAAAAGCATCGTCAAAAAGTTTTTTTTTTTTCCTGAGATAAAGGACTGAAGTTTGCTTTAACCCTTTCCTGCCTTTAGTTTATAATGTGCTCACAGATGGAGTAAAGTCATTCCAACCATCAAATCATGGATATTTGTCTTCATACCTCAGTCACACGAATCTTAATGTAACAAAAAAAGTAAAACCGAGGGAGCTGCCCACCTATTTAACTTTATTCCAGTTAAATGTGCGGATATTGTTCACAAGTGGCGCCTTCAACTGGATATGTAATGCAGAGGGTGACCTCTAGTGGTGAAAATGTTACTGCGTCTGTCAGGAAAGGGTTAAAAACCCCTGTAGATGACTACAACTGAAGAGAAATCTTGTTTTATTTGATAAAAGATAAATATAAGTTGATTTTTAATCATTTACACTGACAAAAGAAAAACAAATCCTTAGCTCAATGGTCTACACAACATTTGTTACATGGAAGAGGGCTGGAAAGGTGGGGGGTAGATCAGGAGGGGGGTGGGGGTGGAGGGGCATTAAGGTCCAGTAGCACATGATGCCAATTCTTTTATCGTCTGTTCCTTTCGAGAAGTGGGCCTACGTTCCCCCGAGAGCTCCGACGTCCTAGAGGTCGAACGGGGCCGAGTCTCGGCGGGGTAATCCCGGAGCACTAAAAAAACAAACCACTGGACTCTGTGTCCACAATCATTAGGCATGTCCCGAAGAAGAGAAGTAAAACAAAAAACATCGGAGAGTAAAGCCGGAACCAGAAGAAACGAGAGTAAAAACTGAAACGTTAAAAGTACAAATCCCCCCACCCCCCACCAGAACGCCGCCTCTGTTCCCGTTTTCCCGGCTGACTGAGCAGGCTCTGTGTTGTGTCACTGTCTCTTGGTCCCAGTTGGTCGGTCGGTCCGGATGGAGATGTCTGTGGTCCTGCTGCTGCTATTGCTCGGTGAGGTGCTCTCTGGTCTCGCCGTGTTTGGAGGGCTGGTTGGGCGACGGGGCCTGGGAGGGGTGTGTACCAGAGGGCAGGGTGTGGGCGATGGGGACCCCACCAGGCACCATGCCCTCCAACGCCCCCGGGATGCCACCCGGAGCCACTCCGACCACACTCGGCGGGTATCTGTCGATGGGCGGGGTCAGAGATCAGTGCAGGGAACACAGATTAACAAACCGCGAGAGAAACCACCTCTTTTTAGCCCAGGAGCTCTTCAGGAACAATTTCACAAGTTCTTAACTGGATTTATTAGAAGTTTCTTCTCATAAGACTTTAGTTTGTTTATTTACTGGTTATCGCTCATGTCTGAACCACAGGGTGGCAGCTGAATAACCTTTGGAGCCAGCCCTATTCAAGATGGCCACCACAGCCTACTGACGTTACTGAACACAAACTCTGGCACTACGTGCATTCCCTTCAGAATGCTCGGCCTGAAATATTCCTGTATAATCCAACAAAGTTCACTCGGGTCATCTGGACGGTTTCGTTTTTTGTTGACGGTTTGTCCTTCATCCGTTCGAGGAGCCACAACAAACAGTACTAGAAGCAGCACACCCACATAGTGGACCAACCAGTTTGCTGGTGATGAGATGGTTTCTGGGGCCCGCCCTCGCCCCCATGAGGCAGCCCCACTCGGTACAGGGACTCAGTTTGTTGTGGCTCCTCGGACTGATGAAGTCCTTTGAATGAAGAACGTAATGTCTCAACAAAAAGACCATCCAGATGACCTAACTGAACTTTGTTGGATTTTCTACCTGGATTATTGAATATGAACTTTGATGTTCCATCATAATCTTAAACACAGACTTAAATTAATAAATCCAAATGAGCATTTAGATTTTTAACACAAGAGTTTTTAAAATAATATGTTGCTCCACTGACTGTTGTATGCAAATGCTTGTTGTTTTTAAAACAAAAGTAGATCAAACATGATCTGACTATGAACGCAAAGTGAAAATAATTATTTTATTTATTATACATTATTATGATTCTTATCATATTACACAAAGTCCAAATGAAAAAAAAAATTGATTTGGAGTTCCTGGTTTAAGTTCCGGGGCTAGAAGAAAAGAGATGCTTCAGTAGTTTAGGGTCTGCAACCTCCGATCTTTGGATCCCTCTAGATCTGGTTTGGTCAAAGCCAACATGTAAATAAAATTTAAATTTATTACCACGACAAGAAAACAATCTAAAAATATCCTGAAAACTGGCCTTTTTAAAATACGTAGCACAAAAGGAAAACTGCTTGATTATTTTCTGTTGTAAAATGCTTATTGGCAATAAATATTATACAGCTGGAAAACTTGTTTTTTTCTTAAATTGTGCCACATTTGTAAGAACAGGAGTACACGCTCTTGTTTGAAGCTTCTGGTACCTCAGGCGCCTGTTTGTCAGCGCCTGCGAGTCCCATAACTCCAGTCTGGGCGCTCACTCCCACAGAGCGGGGTTCATCAGAACGTTGTAGTGGAGAAGATGGAACGACCTCCTGACCTCAACCCGCTGAACTCCAATGTGCTGTTCGTTTCAGAGCAAACACAACCACGATGGTTGTAGAATGGGACACCATTCCACAGCACTGTGACCGAGCTGGGGAGCAGCATGTGGACGAAATGTCAGGCTGTTGTGGCTGTGTATGGTTCTTCCGCATGCTACTGAGACCTCTGTTGGATTGGATGATTGAAGAAACAGAACATATTTAACAATTTCATTATGAAACAAACACCAAATAAGTATCAGAATAAACTGTTGGGCACTGGCAGAGAAGTTTTCACAAGTTTTTCATGGACACAACCCACATACTGAACTCTGCTGCTCCGCCTACACAAACAGCAAATGTGGCACCATTTAAGAGATTTAATGCCAAGAAGCATTGTTACTACAAAGAAATAACCAAACACAAAATTCTTTAGTTTTTGTGCTTGTCCACAATGATAAAAAAGACTAACATAGGCCGGTGTTTAGACTTTATCAAAGGAGGCCTTAACCACATAAGTGTTTTTTTTTCCTTTTTACATGTAAAAATACCAAGAACTATCAATTTATTACAGATCATTATTTTCATTTAGTCACAAACTATATTATGTTGTGTTCTTTGTCATTTAAAGCCTCAAGTGCAATTTGCAGCTCTGCTCCGGTTTTAATTTTGTGGGAAAAGGAAGATAAATTACTCTTGTGGTTGTAAAGGTTGCAGACCCCTGATGTAGGAAACAAATCTCAACAAAACCCAGAAACCAGACAGGAAGGACAAAAGGACAAGGCAGTTCAGAGACAGTCAGCTTTCAAGAATTTTCCCAAAACCCCATAAGGAGGAAAACAATGGAGCATCCTGTGAAACTGCTTCAGCATTCACTGCCATCCAGCTCTACTCTGAGGTCAGTCACGCAGGTGGGTGCTGAGGGAGGAGGGGGACACACATCAGGTGAGTTTAGGTGAGAAGGTCTGATCTGATCGTATTTACCTGCTCCTGAATCTAGGCATTAATTTTGTCTTGGGGGACGCCGGTTACAGCCTGAAGAGTTTGGTTCACTTGGCTGCGTGAAGGAAACACATACTGAGATCAAGAGAAGTCCTGAAGAGGACATTTTGGACAAAGTTTCTTTCTACTGAGGGGGTGTCTCTCCAGGCTCTACTATAGATTTATTCATGTCTCTAGAGGAATATGTTCAATACATGAGTTTTTCTAAATAAAACACTTAATTATCTTCATTAGCTGACCTGTAGGTGGCGCCGTTGAGCTCAGGGTGAACGCCTGGTTGGTCCATGACTCCCCACGACGCCGTGGTGACAAAGAACTCCTTATTGACGCAGTTTCGTAGGCTGTCAGGGATGCGTCCTGTCGTACGAGACACACACACATGTGGAAACCACTGAGTAAAAAGCCACAACTTGTTGATGAGCCGAGCGGCCAGACGGTGCCCGAGTGTTAACGAGTTCGTAAAGACTCCGATACATGAATGCAAATTAAGGTAATTTAACAGTGTGGATGTTTGGTGAGAGGGAAGCGCTTTGTTCTGAGGAGCCAATATCTATTGGGTTTGGATTTAATAAAGGCAGCTGCTGGAGTGGACACACGACACCTGGGAAGGAAACCTGAGCAACAGGACACGGCGTGAGATAAACGAAGGACTGTTGATGTCTGAAGTGTTGAGGTGACTCCGTACCGGTGATGGCTCTTCGGATCTCGGTGGCGGCCGCCTCCCTCATCTCCAGAGAGGCCTGCTCGCTGTACCAGGCTGTGTGCGGCGTGCAGATCAGGTTCGGGGCATCCTTCAGTGGGCCCTGAGCAAAACTGCAGCATGGGGGAGAAGAAAACCAAAAGCACAAGTTAGAAACTAAAAACTGTTTGAGAACAGGAACAACGGTGTTGCCCTCATGGTTAGAGTTATACTCGGCTACTACTACGCTCAATTTTAGCTCAAAATCTGTCAAATCAGCTGAGTTTTATCCAACTTTGTGTTTTCTGTCAGTTGATTGGTTGTAGACGTACATTTAATGATTGCAAAATATCTCTCAAATCACTGTCTAAATATAAACTACAGAAAGCAAACAGGACAAATTAAAACACATACACAGATAACACGATATCGCTCTCACGTCGTGTTCGGACGATTAAAAGATTTTGAAAAAGTTTGTAAAGAATTCTTGAATATGATTTTAAAATAAATGTTAAATTAGATCAAACAAATTATCTATGAGAATGGAGCATGAATGATGGCCGAAGAAGATAAAGGTAAATGTAAGAAAATACTAGTTAAAAGCTAAAAGTAGCAACAAAAATAAAATGTTTCTACCGGTAAATGCTAAATGTAACAAAAGGCTAAATTGAAGTTTAGATGAACTAAAATTAGCATTTGTAGAGAGAACAGCATTTGCATTAAGAATAGAATTAGTAGATTAGTAACATTAATCATATTAGCAATAACGGTTATCAAAGTTCATGCTCAATAATCCAGGTAAAAAAATCCAACAAAATTAAGTCAGGTCATCTGGACGGTTTCTTTTTTTGTTGAGACGTTTCGTCCTTCATCCAAAGGACTTCATCAGTGCAAGGAGCCACAACAAACATTGATGTTTTTAACTACTTTGGCTATGGCTGCCTCAGAGGAGTTGACGGGGGAGAGGGCGGGCCCCAAAAACCATCTTATCACCAGCAAACTGGTTGGTCCACTATGTGAGTGTGCTGCTTGTGGGACTGAGTTTGTTGTGGCTCCTTGAACTGATGAAGTCGTTTGGATGAAAGATGAAATGTTTCAACAAAAAAATAAATCATCCAGATGACCTGACTGAACTTTGTTGGAGCGGTAGAGTTAGCATTAGCATTAATACGCTATGTGATTTCACATAGAAGGTTATAAAAAGCTTAATGTATTTTTATATGGATTTTATGTGAATAAATTTTATTTTAAGTTACAAAAACCAAACAAAGGTTCCACCTGTCTAAGCTGAACGTTTTGATGTGAACTCAACGTTCAGGACAAGTGACTAAAATGAGTCTGTTGCATTCGGACACTCGATAAAAGGTGGAAACATTCTTTGTTGCATCTGTGTCTTACTAATTTAATTTGTTCTGACGGGATTAAAGCTCGCTCTCTGCCTCCGCAGGTTCACTACCTGCAGAGCTCTGATGGAGCCGTGTCCAGAAGCATGAAGTGCTGTTAGTGTCTCACGGCTGATTAAGGTTCACGTTCTGTGATTTCTCTTCCCACACAAATCTTTTCTCGTCTAGCATCTGTCGTTTGACTTTCTGTTCGTGTGCACCTACGTGAAGGGCTCGGTCTCGTGGACGTCCAGGGCGGCTCCACGTATCCTGCCCTCCTTCAGCGCCTGGGCCAGAGCTTTCTCGTCCACCAGGCCTCCTCGCGCGGTGTTGACCAGGAAGGCGCCCTGACGCATCTGTAAGACACAAAATAAATAAATAAATAACTAACACGGATCTAATCAGCAGCAGATTATTCCTTTGATCTTGAGCAGAAGATCAATTTGGATTTCGTGTCTCCGGTTCGAGGGTCTTAAAACATATTACACGAGAAGAAAAGAAATCTCGACACCTGAAAGATTCAGGAAGCGCCCAGGATAAATGCCATCTGATGTGGGATAAAAAATAGTCTTAATCCGAAACCAGGAGATGAAATGAAGGACGGGATAAAAGATGAGGCAGAGCCGCCATCCTTTGCTGCTTGTGCTACTTTTAAAAAATAAAAAGGCACAAAAAAAAAATGTGAGAGGAGAGGAGGGGAAGAAAAAACGTGATTATGTTCAGAAGAAAGTAATCCCTTAATCTTGACAAAAAGCTGAAATCCAGGGGCATGGAAAGCCAAACGTTGACTGGCAGTCTTTTGTTAGACCTTGATGGATGTGACACTTAAAAAAATACATGAATACTCAGGTTTCCATTTTGAAAATCAAGAACCACAGCCAGCATTTTAGAGGGAAAAGTGTTCTTTCTCTCTTAAAGCAGCAGCTTCAGAAAGGACAGTCACTGGGTTGGTCATTTTGCAACTCGGACCATCTCAAAGACGCAGCGTGGAGGGGTTGACCTTCAGCCTGTGCAGTTCTGCAGCTGTCCTGCAGGTGTCGCTGCAGGCAGACGGTCAGAGTTCTTTTTTTATTTATTAATTAATTTCAAAGAAAAACGCATAGAATGAAAAGGGTGCAGAAAGAAGAATATTCTTATAATATCCGCCCTTTATTTAAAACATATATAAAATAACTACAAACAAACAACTCAGGCTTGAACAATTCGAACAATTCCCAAAGTGAAAACAAAAAACATTTGGCATTCTCCATGTTGTACTTTCCTAACAATTTTAATTTAATTATATTTTTAAACGTATAAATTGTTTTAGAAATTTTTATGGCGATACTGAGGCAATTCCACAATCTTATCCCCTGAGTTACAATGCAGCGCTCCTTCAGACCAGTTCTAAATGGAGGTTTTACAAACATTTCCATTAGGCCTGTCGCGATAAACAACAAATCAATAAATCGCATGATAAATGAAAATTATCAACCTCATTTTCATTTATCGGCTTTATCATTTCTTCGTGTCTCAATTTCTACTGAAGACACTGGACGACAAAAGGCTCAACTCCGGTGCTTTTCACTGAACCCTCCCTTTCTCTTCGTTAAAATCCATGTTATTGATCCAAAATCGCATTTTTGGATCATTAAAAGCAGCTAAGCTGAGAAGATAAGCTAACAGGCCGACCTCGGGGAAAAAAAACCTCTGTCTTGTTGAAAATTCACAGTTGAAACTCGAGTCTTTGTGTAAAAAGTTGTTTTTCTCTGCAAAAAGAAGCTGAGAACTTGTTTACTGATTTTTTATTAAAAGTTTAGTGTGAACAACGCTATGCTAAAGAGCTCAAACCACACAGAGCGTCAGCCATTTTGAGAACCTGAAAAAAAGGAAGGAGAGAGACAGCCCATGTCACGTCAAGGGGCCTCCCTCCCATTTTTCTTAAAGAGACACGCTGCTCACTCCCTCACTATCCATCCTTCAGTTCAAACAGTCTTATACTGCCATCCAGTGGTCAAAAATATACTACACTCAAAACAAATTAACCAACATTTCTTCTTAAATTTGACAATAATTACTAATTATTGTCAAATTTAAAACAATGATATTGTTTATTGCAATAATTTGAGACAATTAATTGCTCAGCAAAATATGTTATTGTGACAGGCCTAATTTCCATTCTTTTAAGGTTATAATGATTCTCTTTTTTTTTTTTAAATCAGATTTTAATTGAATATTTGGGGGTAATTAATTTTATGAACTTTATACATGACTTGTAAAATACTATATTCAATCAAATAATACAATTTTAATCATTTCAAATGATGAAATAATATATTTGTTGGGTGACCATATCACTTCCTACTAATAATCTTATAGCTCTTTTTTGTAAAATAAAAATAGGATTTGTAATTGTTTTGCATGCTTTTCCCCAAACTTCAATACAACAGATTAAATATAGAACAATCACTACATTATACAATATAGATAAAGCTTTGTCATTCAAAAACTATTTTACTATACTTATAGTAATGCAATTGATTTTGCTATTTTTATTCTTAATGTACATGAGAGTTTCATGTCAGCTTCTCATCAATAACGACACCCAAAAATTTTATTTCATTAACTCTATGAATTTCAATACTGTCAATTTTAAATGGGACTTTGATCATTTTATTTCTATTACTAAATATCATGTAGTTTGTTTTTTTCAAATTTAATGATAACTTATTAAGTTGGAAATGTGTATTTTTATGAATTCTGCCTGTATCATCTCTAACATCCGTTCAATTTCTTCACCCGAACAAAAGACTGTATCATCAGCAAAGAAAACACTTCAAAGCCCTGAGCTCTCCCGCTGCGCAGCTCAGTCCATGTATTTGTCGTAGCCGTGTTCTGGCGCTGATTGCATTCGACAGAACAAAGCAGTGAATTTGTGTCCAGCTTTGGTGGAGCTGGAGATAAGAAGCTGCTCCCACAGTGACGTGACGTCGGGCTCGGGTCGGGTGTGGTTTGTGTACCTGTTTGATGGTGAAGTCGTTGATGAGGTGGTGGTTGTGCTCGTTCAGGTTGCAGTGCAGGGAGACGCAGTCGCTCTGGTACAGGAGGTCCTGCAGGGTGTAGACGCGCTGGACACCCAGCGAGCGCTCCAGCCCGTCCTGCAGGTACGGGTCGTAGAAGATGACGTTGAAGCCGAAGACCTTGGCCCGAACGGCCACCGCCTGGCCCGAACGACCTGAGAACACAAACAGCAGAACATCAAGAAAACGGGTGCAAAAGTGACAACAGCACCACTTAAAGATAATAAATGGATCAGATGAAGATAAAAGTTGAGACTTTCACAACAAATGTTACATTGATGAACTTTGGGAAGAGTTTTCATGAATATCTTGTGCATTCAAAGTAAATTTGTTCTGTTGCCATTTGTCTAAAAAAAAGAGCTTCCATCTTTTATTGATGTCAAACTTTGACGACTTGAGTTTAAATTGTAAATGTTTAAGAGATGCTTCAAAAATGTCGACGTTTGATTTTGGTCGTTTCGACCACAAAACGTTAAAAAAAAACTGTTTAATTTAGTGGAAAACTACAAAAGATAAAATTGAAAACTACCTTTAACAAACCGCTGCGGCTAACGGTTTGTTGTAACAAGCACTTTAATCAGATCAAGCGGCCATTTATGTTTCAGGAGGTTAAAATCTGCACGAGTCGTGAGAGGACTGTGAAGCGGAGTCTGCAGACCATAATAAGCCTCTCCCTGCGTCTCTCGCAGACATTTGTTGTGTAGGACGTGAGTGTTGGCTGCAGGAAGCGTTCTGCTCAGCAGCTGCAGCTGAGGAACAAAGTTCTGCAGAGTAAAAATGTTCAAAAGGATCAATGACGTGTCCAGTTCCTCCTTTAGCTGCTAAATCAAGCAACGCTTCAACATTCACTTGTTTCGGTATCGGTCATTTAATCAATCATTTTAAAACGAATCTATCCAAAATGACAGATTTCTCTCCGCTCTGCATTTCTAAGCTTCGCCTTTTCCCAGCCGATCAATCGTATCAGAGAGAAACCTGAAGGTCCAGTTCCATCTTTGCCACTTCCTGTTTCACTTTCTCTCCCAGTTGCTGATGAATCCAAGCCTGCCAACGTCTAGAACCCACTGAAACGACAATATTTAATACCACGACACCTAAAGGCACAAGGTGGGCTGTAATACTTTTTCCCGTGTCTGTTAGCAAAACTTCTCCTGAATCACAAAAGCAGATTTTTAAGAAATGTTCAGCAACTCAGTCCAATTCAAGATGGCCACCACAGCTAATTATCAGTGAACAGAAAAGCTGCTCTGACTCAGTTAATTTACCGACACTGGGCTCAACTTTGACGTGGTAGTAGCTGAGAGTCATTCACAGCACGTACTCTCAGGGTGACATCCTGAAGTGTAAGATGTACATAGGCCTGTCACGATAATTGCTGAGCGATTAATTGTCTCAGAAATTATTGCGATAAATAATAATATTGTTTGAAATTTGACAATAATTACGAATTATTATACAATAATTATTAATTACTAATTATTGTCTGTTAAGAGGAAATGTTGGTTAATTTTTGTGTGTAGTACTGTTTTTGACCACTGGATGGCAGTAAAAAGACAGTTTGAAACAAAGGATGGATAGTGAGGGAGCGAGCAGAGTGTCGCTTTAAGAAAAATGGGAGGGAGGCCCCTTGACGTGACATGGGCTGTCTCTCCTTCCTGTTTTTGGTTCTCAAAATGGCGGACGCTCGATGTGGTTTGTGGTCTTTAGCATAGCATTTGTCACACAAAGCTTTTAATGAAAAAAAAATCAGTAAACAAGTTCTCAGCTTCTTTTTGTAGAGAAAAAATTTTAGACGAAGGCACGGGTTTCAACTGTGAATTTTGGAGCTTTGACAAGACGGCGGTTTTCCCCTGAGGTCAGTCTGTTAGCTTAGCTCGTAGCTTAGCTTCTCAGCTAAAAACAGATTTTAAAGAGAAAGGGAGGGGTCAGTGAAGAGCACCAGAGTTGAGCCTTTTGTCATCCAGTGTCTTCAGTAGAAAGAGAGAGACATGAAGAAACGATAAAGCCGATAAATGAAAATGAGGTTGATAATTTTCATTTATCATGCGATTAATTGATTTATTGTTCATCACGACAGGCCTAATTGTACGTTGTTTTTAAATTTTGACCAAATGCAACTCTGTTTTTTTCATCATAAGATTATCTTTGGTTTAAAACTCATAATTTGCTTCTTTCAGGGAATGCAAAACGAAAACCAGTAAGAACCGGATTTGCTGGGTCAGGAGGTCAGTCATAACATGGCTGACCTCCTGACCTTTATGTGTTTGATTCCTTGTTGATGAAGAAATATTGATTACAGATGGTTCCTCCTGTAAATTCCCCAAATCCCAACTCAATTTGAAGTGACAGGAGCGATACTGCCACTCCTCTCGCATAAGAACCAATAAACGAGCTGGAAAAGCAGAAGTGACTCATGCTGGGCACTTTATGAACTCCTCGGGACACAAATCTGTCTACGACCAAACACTTCACTGTCCCCAACGTCCCACCGACAACGGACATTGATAGGACGAGTGGACAAGCTTCAGGTGGGAGGATTGGAGTAAAAATGGGAGTAAACAAGATCATTTCATTGCTGCAGCTGCTGCTCAGACAGTCAGGAGCTGTCTGGGACCTGTAGCAGGTATAGGGGGTGGAGGGGGTGGTGTTGTGGAGCATATGTGGACACAGATAAGGTGGCGCTCCAGAAAGGCTTGTGAGAAGACGGAGCATCTGACTAACCAGCGATGTTCAAACAGGCTTGCAAACACACAATCAGCAGCAAAACAGGTGCAGCGAGTGAA